TCAGCAGGATGGAGCAGTTCTTTGGGGTCCCCAGAGGTGTCTCAGCCAGCATGCAGGGCACGGGGAGTGCCAGGGCCTTGAGGAAGCACCGGAGAGAGGCTGGCTGCAAGGCAACAACCTTCACATGGGCTTCAATGAACTCCTCATGGATCTGCCACAGGTGCTTGAATGGTGGCACCAGGTTCATGTTCAGGTGCTGCAGCACCTCCTGGAGAGCTGGCTCAGGCATCGTCTCGAGGAAGTATGGCTCTGTTAGCACATCCCCACCACCTGGAGATGCCCAGGTCATTGTCACAATGCTGTGAGGGGGCTTCACGTGGTACACAGGCACCAGGGGCAGGCGTGCATGACTGAGGTGCCTATAGACATGCCTCACCAGGTCCTGAAAGGTAGGTAGCACCTTTGCCATAGCAGGGAAGAACCGGAGGTAGTGGGAGGTCAGGTGCTGCTGGCAGGCCTGCAGGGATTTGAACTGGAGCCCTTCAGGCCCCAGGGCTTTCCACTGTCTGGTGAGAAAGGCACAGTATAGTGGAGCCACCAAATGCCGGAGCAAGAAAACATTCCAGGCTGCCTCTGTGCTGCCTGGGTCCTGACGGAGATTGCGTCTGGCCACATCCACAGAGAAGTTGGCATTGATGTGCACAGGCAGCCCTGTGGCCAGTGGCAATGGAAGGGTGCAGAAAGCTTTGCCCATGACTTTGTCCAAGCTCAATGACTTAAGGCAGGCAGCTACAGCCCCATAGGGCAGTTGCCCAAGCACTGGAGACTCCTCAGCCCCCTCCTGCACCCCAATTTGGGAGACTACCCTCCACACAGTGCTGGCCCTGGCCTTACTGTTTTTGATTGTCATGATATAGGAGACAAAGGTGGGGCTGTTCCCATCCATGGCTTGGTTCAATCTTGCTTGAAAACCCTGTCTCAGCTGTGCATCACCATCTGTCAGCTCTGTGGCCACCCGCAGCCTCTCCACCACCTGCTTCCCATCGGGGGGGATCTCAGAGAAAACCACGGTGCGAAGGTGCCGGAGGAAGAGCACCAAATCCTCACCTTCCTCAGCCAGTACTGTCTCCATGGTCTTGATGTCTTGGTCCCGCACGACCATGCCAGACACCTTGGAGATGGCAGCCCCAGCTGCAGTGCGGAGGGGCAGCCGGAAAAGGACACCCTGGTTTAGATTGAAAAGGGAGGGTAGGAAGGTGCCATAAATGTCTGGAAAGGTCCTCTTGAATTCAGGGTTGACAGCAAACATCCCACCAGGACTCTCAGTTGTGGCTCCAGGCACATAGTGGAGATGAGGATCAAAGATACACAGGGCACTGTCTCCAGTAAGGAAGGCTGGGCAGTCAGTAAAGTGGAAGACAGTGTTGAAGCCAAGGCCATATTTGCCTGTGACATCCTGCCGGCCTTGCTTGCCACCCACCCCCAGATGCTGAATGCCTTCAATGTCCCTCTGCTGGAAGGGGATGTCATTGTAGATGCAGAGGGCAGGGCCCTGCAAGGAGTTCCAATTCTCACCGAAAGTGGCATCCACTGGGTGCTGCTGGCGGTCCCACACGATGTGCACAAGCCCCGCACCAGCATCGTCTGCATTCTGGAGCAGCTCTTTCACCACATCACGAGCAGATGCTGGATACTCACCCAAGATGTTTTTCAGCCGTGTAGGCAAGTCTTCACGGGCACCAAATGGCTGTGCCCAGAGGCTCAGGTCTCCAGTGAGCCGTCGGTTCCTCTCCAGTGCCCGGTGGCGTGTGGTAGGCACCCCACAGTGCAGAGCTGTGGCTCTCGACAGATGTTCATGGCACAACAGGACATCTCTGTCCACTGGCATCCATGGCGTATCATTGAAGTGGAGCTTGTCCCATGGACGCAAAATGCCCTCCTGGTCAGGTAGGAAGAGTTGCTGGGTCTGGTAGGCATCTGGCCTTTTGTCATCTGCCATCAAGCCACAAGACACCAGCCGCAAGGCCAGAGCCAGCTCCACGTCAGGCAGCGGCTCTCCAGCATGCATCTCTGCCAGGACACAGAGCACTTTGGCATAATCATCCCAGGTGAATGTGTGGCGCAGCCCCACACACTCCCAGAGCTGGCTGTAGGGCCGGTACTGCTCTGGGAGCTGGTGAAGATATGGGAGAGCCTCAAATGATAGTGTCTCAGCCACAGCCATGACTGGCACAAAGTAGGAGCCCACCAAGATGAAGGGCTTCCCTTGGGCTGCTGCAGAAGCCACCTCACCCCAGCTGAAGTGATCTCTCTGGAGCAGCATGTGCAGGTACCTGTAGCAGCAGTGGGTGCTGTACTGCAGGTTCTCCAAAGTGAGAGCGTTGGAGCTACAGCTCAGTGCCTGCAGCTGCTCAAGGACTGTAGCTGCTGGTGGCTGCCGGTCCAGTCCCAAGAAGGATGCAACCTCCTTGGGGAGGCTGAATTTTTCTCCCAGCAGTTTAGGAGCCAAGATAGGGTGGATGAGTCCCACTAGTGGGGCATGGAGGTGATGGTAGAGCTGGGCACCTGGCAACAGCACATGTTCGCCTGTAGGCAGTGTACCAGGGAGGAAGGGCACAGTCTGGAAAGCTGCCTGCATGGTGTTGTTCATGTTCTCCTCCACTACATCCTGAAGCAGCTCAAGGATGCAGGCAGCCCTCTGGCAGCCCTGGGCATGGTCTTCAGTCCAGATAAGCTGCACCGTCTTTGCCCGCTCCAGCAGCTCTGGCAAGGTCATTGTGTCCTTAACCATGCCCAGCCTCTCCAGTCGGCTTAGTCTTTCTGGGGAAAGGAAGGCATCCCCAGTGGGGAAGCGCCCATCCTTAGGGTCGTATAAAGAGGCAGTGCGGCCTCTGGGATGCACCAAGCAATTGATGAGCTGCAGGTGGCCATGATGGCACTGTCTTCAGCACTTCGTCCACATCATCATGGGACATATCCAGTGCATGGAGAAGCAGTGGGTCCCGGTCAACAACAGAGAGATCTTCCAAGTTGGGAAGCACAAGCTCACAGTAAAAGCGGGGCCAGTCATAGATGCCAGCATCCACTGCCTTCCCAAGGCCCCTCTGCACCTGCTCTGGCAAGGCCACAGCTAACAGGGGATGGGGCAGGGTGGTGGCAAAGACACGCTTTGCCACAGCACCCAGCTTGGCATGTCTGACCACAGCCTGGTGCAGAAAGCGGGCGTCCCGCAGTGAGCACCATGAGCAGCCATCAGAAAAGAGCCTGGGGCCATTCCTATCTGCCACAGCCTGGTAGAAACCAGTCACAGCCTCTGTAAAGGGGTAACGGGCAGTGTTAGTGTCCGGCCAGAAGACATGATATTCATAGCTCTTCAACTCACCTGCCTCATGCATGGTGCGGAGGTGGTCCAGTGCCCGGAGCCAGGCAGCCGGTACAGCATTGCGGAGCAGCACCCGGTTCCACTCACCCTGCTCTGCCGTGTCCCATAGTCCCTTACGGTTTGAGAGGATGCTGAAGGCCCCATGCACGTGAATTGGCAGCCCTGACATGATTGGCATGGGAAGGTGGCAGAAGACTTGCCCCTTCTCAGCACCCAGACGCGGCACCCACTTGCCATCTGCAGCAAGGGCAAGGGGAAGGGCCACACCAGCCATCGGAGGCAGACAACAGAGCCCTGCCTGTGTATTCCGGTGAAACAGTTCCAGCAACTCCCCATCACCCTGACACACCAAAACTAAGTAGTGCCATGTGGTCTTGGATGCCTCTTCACAGGCTGTGAGCTGCCTGATGGCTGCCCAGCTTGGAGGATCCCCAGGGGCCCCCAAGTCTTGGATCTCCTTTTGCTGCAGCATGATCAGAGGCATGGTATCCTCCGCAGAGGTGGCCACGTCTGGCAGCATCTCTAGGGACATCTCCCTCACCCTCCGCAGGAAGAGCAGCAGGAGCCGGTTAGAACCAAGGAAGCTGGTGCCAAGGGACTGGATGCGCTCTGTACCAAAGGCCTCTGAGCAAATCTGTGATGTCACAGCTTCCTCTTCAGTGCGAAAAGGCAGACGGAAAAGGCTGCCTGAAAAGGGTCCTGGCTCAGGTAGGCGGCACCCAAAGATACCATGGTAGGGAGAGAACTGCTCAGCAAAGGCACGGAGGATGCGTGGTCGGCTGGAGAAGTCCAGGCGGATGCCAGGGCTGCCAGCCCTGGGGATGTGCTTGCCCAGATGGGTGCCATTGGGATCAAAGATGAGCAGTGTCTTCCCACTCAGTACTGCTGGCACGTCTGTGACACGGTAGACGGAGCTGAAGCCCAGCCCAAAGCGCCCAATCTGGCCTGCCTTGCCCTCCTTCGTAGCAGCCCCAACCTGTGTGATGTTACGGAGGTCATCCTCTGTGAACAGGGCATTGTTGTAGGCCCAGAGGGCTGGGCCATGGCAGGCAGCCATGCCAGGGTCTAGCAGCCCAGAGGTGGCCTTTTTGCAGCGTCGGAGGTCCAGGAGGAAGCGGCACACAGTAGCTCCAGCATCCTCTGCATTCTGGACAATCTCTGTGAAGAGGTCGCCCTCCTCGCCGTACTCCCGGAGGATGTTGCGAAGCCGTAAGGTGATGGGCTCTGAGGGACCGCAGGCTGTGAATGGCTCCGGCCCCAGCACCCGCGTACTGAGCAGCTCTGTGCCAAGGAACATGGCTGTGCTGGATGGCACTGCCTCATGCACCACCTCCTGAACATCCTCCTCTGTCTCCAACTCCATGTCCAGGTACACGGTAGAGGCAGCCGGGCGGAGGGCAAAGCCCGAGCCCTCCGGGATCCTCACAGGAACTGGCACTGTGCCCTCACCCCAGTGCCCCCGGCTCTTAAGCCACTCCAGGACAGCTACAGCCACCTGCAACTCTGCTGCAGTGCCAGCTCTGGAGCTGCGTGCGTCTATGTTCTGCCCCAGGCAGCGCAGGGCTGCAACCGCCCTCTCCTCACTCACCCTTGCCTCCACTCCCCAAGCCCTGAAGAGGCAGCTGTAGGGCAGGAAATCAGGGGGCACCCGGGGCACCAGCATCCCCAGCTCCAGCTCCTCAGGGTAGCCCAGCACAGCATCACATGGCAGGACAAACCCAGCCCCAGTCCACACCACAGCATCATGTGGGGCAGCCCCAAAGGTCTTCAAATTTTTCTGCATGTGCTGGTAGACAGGCTGGAGTGCAGGACCCACCTTACCCATGTCCCTGCACCCTGCTAGCTGTCTCAGCTGCTCCCACACTCTCTCTGGTGGTGGGGTTTGGCTCAGCCCCAGCTTCTTCTCTGCCTCTGGCTCAAAGGCACCAGTCAGGTGCATGGCAAGCCCCACCAGGGGCTGGTACTGGGTGGACCGCAGCTCACTGGGGGGCAGGAAGGGCTGCCCAGGCTTTCCAGTGCACTCGGAATGAGGCACCCATGGCAGGGCCTGGAGCTGCCTAAGCTTCGCAGCGCTGAAGCCAGCCAGTGCCTTGGGGTGATTGCAGACCTTGATCAGTGCCCGGGCCCTGTCCAGAGCTGCTGCGTCACCCTGACTCACGCTTGCTGCAGCCTTGAGGATGTCCGAAGGCACCAGGCACCCCTCACCATGCCGCAAGCCCAAGGCTCTCAAGGCACGGAGTACAGGTGGACTGCGGAAGGCGGCAGGAGGAAAGCACTCAGGGCCCAGCAGTGCCTGCAAGGTGCTCTCGCAGGGATCGTAGAGGTCTTGCGGGCACATGAGGCCATTGGGGGTCTCCAGGAAGGCCAGCCTGCTGCAGGCTTGCTGAAGCGGGGGGCTCTGTGCAAAGAGGATGTCTCCGTGCTGCAGCACCCAGAGCAGCAGAGCCTGTGTCTCGGCCGCCCGCCCTGCATAGGCACCCTGGGCCAAGGCTCTGACAGCCTCCAGTGCCACGTGGGCTGCACTGATGAGAGACCTCTCGAGCCTCCCTAGGAGCCGCCGGTCAGCTTCATCCCGGCATTGCAACACAGCCTTTGGCAGCACCACGTCTCTGGGCAGCTCCAGCTCTGGCTCCAGCGCTGGGGTGGCACCGGCCGGTACCAGCTCCACGGGCTGTGGGGTGGCCAAGCAGGGCAGTGGTATGAAAAGGGGCAGAGCAGCCAGTGTGGCCCTGTCCTGCTTTGTCAGGGATGGGATGTCTGCCAGGTAGAGCCGGAGGGGGCCCACATCTGCTTGCCCGGGCGGGAGGCCACTGCTGCAGCCCCCTGCCTGCCCAGGGCCCGCAGGGCATTGAGCGGGGATGGAGGCAGGACATAGTGGGACAGGGAGCGGTGCCACGTGCCCGGTGGCACCACTGGGCAACCCAGGACCTCCAGGACAGAGGCCACAGCAGGTGGCAGGCACTGGTCCTCCCATGCCTGGAAGATAAGACTGGACTGAGGTATCAGCGGAGCCAGACGGATGCTGGGGGCACCCAGTGGGGACAGGGGGATGAGAGGGAGCCCCTCCAGAGGGCCCAGGTCTTCCACGTGGTGGGCCAGGAATTGCCACAGGGCTGGGAACCAGGAGGCTGGGGGCTCAGGAGGGCCTTTGGCCGGGCACCAGGTCACAGGGGTTGAAGACTGCGATGTCCAGGTTGGGGGCAGAGCCAAGCGTAGGCTCTGGGCAGTCATGGCTGGGTCCAGCAGAACCAGGTTGGTGAAGACACCTGTGTGCAGGAGGCAGAGGCTGGACAAGGAGTACGTGGGACCTGGGACCTGGCAGGGGGACCCAGGGTATGGGGGAAAGAACCTGAGATCTTCAGGGGATGGGGGCCCCCCATACTGGGGATGGGAGGACTTGGGCTCTGGAGGGACAGTGGATACCCTGAATAGGAGGAACAGGTGAACCCCAGATTGGTGGAGATGATAGAGAAGATTT